GAACCTGCCACCTTAGGTGTATATCGCTGGTGCCTTAGCCACTTGAGCCACAGGCGCCGAGCCAAGAATTTTCTCATTTTTAATTTCTAGTAGTATAAACATTGGTAGATAAAATTCATGTAAACAAAAGCTCTTTGAGGTCCTCAGTAATTTTGGGGAGTGGAAAGGGCTCTGAGACCAAAAAGCTTGAGAAGCAACTGCAGGTTTACACTGTGATCAATCTGAAGACTTAGGGGGAAAAGTAACAACATAGACTAGGCTTGGTTCCCCTAGAGTCTTGTTAACATTTCTTACCCTTGAACCTGCCCAGGGTGGCTGCATGGCAGTGCTTGAACAGAGGTCTCTGTAGGGCTATGGCGCGGGCCCAACTCTGAGCTCTCCCATGAGGGGCCCCAGAGGCAGGGAGGTGGGGATCATGACCAGGAAAGGGCCACGTAGCAGGGGCCTCTCCAGGGCCTTCAACCTGCATGTATCACATCCCACAAAGGCAATGGCAACTATGATATAGGATTGTTGGAGTTTTTTAATTAAGAGACAGGGTCTCACTCTGTCACCCAGGATGAAGTGTAGTGCCATGATCCGGGGCTCAAGTGATCCTCCTGCTTCAACTTCTAGAACGGCTGGGACTACAGGTGCTTGTTACCATGGCTGGCTTGGTTTTTTTATTTTTTGTAGTGAAGTGATCTCGCTATATTGCCTATGCTCATCTTGAACTCCTGTCCTCAAGTGATCCTTTTGCCTTGCCCTCCCAAAGTACTGGGATTACAGGTGTAAGCCACCATTGTCAGGTAGGGGGTTTTAAAGGAGCCCAAGGCTATCTTCAGATGCTGTTTTAAACTTTCTCAGTGTCAGAAGATAGCAGGAAAAAACATTTTTAATAGATATCTTAAAAGATACAAGCACAGTAGCCAGCCAAGAAAATTGGCATGGGTTTGGTTCTGTTTTATGTTCAACTTCAAGGAAAAGTACCTACCCAGCGCAGAGCCTGCAATAAGAAGGCTTTTAAGCGATCACTCCCCCAAATCAAATCCTTCTTCAGTTTCTCATAATCCAGGGAGGGCAGTAATGGGACATCTTTCAATCTCCTATTTAGCAATGAAAGTTCAAAGAGAAAGAAAAGGGCAAAAAGGCATGTTCATTATAACTTCTGAGCATCATGACACTGATCTAGAGCTGCAGAAAGAAGAACCCAGCAGTGGAAAGCTGTCCCCTGGGCTCCCAGAATGAACTCCCAGCTTCTACCTGGGGGCTGGCTGGGTTCCAGGTTCTCTGCCCCTGCTTCAACTGGCTCAGGCCCACCTGTTCTGCTGGATGGACTGAGGTTCTGTTTAACATTTTTCCTAAAATGAGGAGTCTCTCCCTGAACAGATTAAGAAACTTCCACATTCATCTTAGGCCGGGTTCCCATACAGAGGAAAGAAACAGCTGTGGAGGCTTCCTAACTTTCCACCCAAGTTCCACTTAGAACTCTGAGCAAAGCCCAAATACTATCAGCAGCTCCATCCATCCCGCAGTTCTACCTACAAACCTGAAGCCACTGTGCCTCGCCAGCCCAAGGGACTTGATGGGGGAGTGTGAAGGACAGACCAGGGGTGAGGAAATAAGTGTGAAGAGGAAATGGATGGGTGGCTCGGCCACAATGGTAGAAGCCAGTGGTCAGGAAGTTGGGTGAGGGGTATAGCTATGAGACAGGCTGTAGGGTAATTTGAAGACTCTCCTCAAGAAGACTCCAAACCAAAGAACTCAGGGGAGCCAGGTTTCAATTAAGAGAGATCTTTCTTTTATTAATTAAAAAATTTATTGACATATAATTAATTATATATATTTATGGGGTACACATGATACTTTGATGCATGTATATGATATGTAAGGATCAAATCAGGGTAATTAGCATATTAATCACCTCAAACATTTCTCGCTTCTTTGTATTGGGTAAGAGAGACCTCTGACTAGAGATCTACACAGCTTCAGGCTGATCCAACACCAAACCAAAGGAATGGCCTCAGCTTCCTCCTCACTACAACAAGTGTCTTTCTCACATTTTTTTTTTTTTTTTGAGACAGAGCCTCAAGCTGTCCCCCTGCAGTTGCATCACAGCTCACAGCAACCTCCAACTCCGTGGCTCAAGTGAGTCTCCTGCCTCAGCCTCCCAAGTAGCTGGGACCACAGGCATCGGCCACAACATTCAGCTATTTTTTTTTTTTTGGTTGCAGTTGTCATTGTTGTTTGGCGGGCTCCAGCTGGATTCAAACCCGCCACCTTAGGTATACATGGCTGACGCTTTAGGCACTTGAGCCACAGGCGCCGAGCCCACATTTTGTTTTGTTAAAGAAGAGTACATGGAAAAACTCATGAAACTGAATGAGGTCTGTGGCTGAGTTAATGGTCCTGTATCAGTGTTAATGGTCCTATTTCAGTGTTAATTTCGTTTTAATATAAGGCTACAATCATTTAAGATGTCACCACTGGGGAAGTGGGGAGCCTCAATTTCCCATAAATCTGTATTTATTTCAAAATAAAAAACTAAAAACCACAACAAATACATGTGTCTTTCAGTATAAAGGAAAAAAGCTACTGCATAATATTAAATGGAGTTTGGCAAAGAGACTGAAGCTTCAGGTTTAATTTGCTTTTAAGCAAATGGAATTGGAGATAACATGCTCCAGGGTGTATTACCTACAGAATAAAAAATT